TGCACATCCAGCTCCCTGCTGAGTCTGCACCAAGCTGACCCCTGTTAGTGAATTACACACACACACAGGTAATGCAGGTAACACTCAGCAGATGCATACGGTCACTCTCAGACACAAAGGAGCTCCACTGCCTTCCCAAGAAAGGATGGGCTGTAAAATGACACAGAAGCCAGCACAAGCCCATGTCAACAAGAGGGCAGGGAAAAGACATTTAGGCACAGCTCAACACAAGATCAAGTCCCAAGTGAGGTTCTTGGCTTGGGTCAATAGATGATCTGTGCCAGGGCTGAGCTCTGGGCTAGAGATATCTTAGATTTATGCTCAGGTTAAGCCAGAAGAGCTTCCTCTGCTCAGGAGCAGCAGAAGTGATTTGGTGGTTAGGTACAACAGAGAAACACTCAGCCAATGGCTCAAGCCCCCAGTCATATTCCTAAAAAATCAGCAGAGAATGAACTACTGCCAAGCAATAAAGTAGGAAATAAAACACAAATGCTACAAAACCCTTCCAAGGTAGCTCCCCTCCTATCCAACACCCGCAAGTGCTCAGAAATAGAACACCAACTGATGTGCAAAGGCTAAAAAGGGCATCCCAGGTCTAGATTTCAATGACCTTTAAGACAGAAACTAAAGGAGCATGAAAAGATTTGAAATGATTAGGTTAACTGCAACATATTCACTCTGGACATCCAAATTTCGTGTTCTCATCAGAAACTCCCTGTTACACACAAGAACTTACAGCTCAAGCCAGACATCACTAAATACCATGTAATTGTATGGAGCTAATTGTGCAAGAATTGGCTTGGCTCATACTGACCCCTGACAGCTTTCTCCATAAAGATGATAATAACAGGACTGCAAAGTTCATTTGGTTTCGCATTTATACAACTCTTCCATTTTCTGTACATCTCAGCATATGACCAACAGACCACCCAGTTTCACTTTCTGTTTCTGTTGAATTCTGGGCAATCACCAAGGCAGGGGCAGCTTGGCTGTAAGGAGCCATGCAGAAATTCCACCAGAGTTTTTAAAAGAAGAGATGTGCAAACATCTCTCGTACACTTGGTTGTACAAAAGCTTCCCCAAGTGTCCTGCTGTACAACCTGAGGAGAAGCCACACTGCAGTGTATTTGATCTTCCTCCCAGCTGACTTAGCAAAGCTCCAGTGACTTTCTCTAAGCTGCAGAGAAGTGCTGATATTTTAACAGCCTCATCCCAGGAATCTCAGTGCTGGAAGCGAAGAAGTCAGGAGCCAGACTCCTTAAGTCTTCTCTCCTGCAGACTATCATTACTGAGGTGGGAGAAAACTACTCAGTCCATGAGGGTGCAGAAATTTCTGCAAAGTTTTAAATTCCACTCCTCCAGAACAGATTTTGTTCCGTGTGCAGGCTGAGCCTGGATGTGCTGTGTGAGCAGAGCTTCCTTCCCATCGGCAGCCGCAGCGGCCGCCTGGATTGCGGATCAATGTCAGACACTCCAAAGGATAAATATTTACCTTCTAGACCAACTTTCCAGCCTCTCAAGGATAAAGTCGGCTCTGGCAGGACTGGCTTAGAGGCAACCTAGATAAGAGATAATTTTCTTCCTCAGCATGAATCACTCCTCCATTCTATTAGAGTCTCCTTCAGCTAGGAAGGGAGGCGAGACACGAAGCAAAGGCTGGATAGCAGCGGGAACAAGTTAAACCAAAACATGCACAACAACCTTGGCAGCTCCCCTTGGACAACAGCACATGGAAGATTCTGTGTGAGCACCTGACTCCTTCCTACTGGGAAGCAACATGATTAAGTTTGAGGCAAACAACAGCTATGACACCGTGAGAATGCTGTTTTAAAATGCTTTCAAGGAAAAATCAAACTCTGTACTTTTCCAGCTGAAAGACAACTCCTGCTTCTGCCACAGTGATACGAGCCAAGTCCTAATTCTGAGGACAACAGTTTAAGTGCCAGGACACTGCAAAGACACAAGTGATAAAAGGCATCACTTGAACACAGAATTTGAGAGTCCTAAAAAACCCACAAAAGCCGGAAGGTGAAAGTACAAGAACAAGCCTGAAGTCAGACCACACCACACAACTCAGATTTTCTTCCAGACACCACCAGAACACAGCAGAGGTGCAGATCTCCATCTCACTCTATGGAACATTCTTGCCTACCCAAACCTCTTCGCTGCTCATTAGCAAATTGTACTAGCTGGGTTTGTACTAATTTACCAACCAACCAATCCTCAATCCAAGCCACGTTTTCACTCCAGGATGTCGCAGCCAGCAAGGCTGGAGAGGCCTTGCAGGAATTCCCGTTCGTATCTAGTTTCAAGGGGCTCCAAAAGTGGTCGCTTAAAAACCTCCACAGAAGAAAATCTGGCCTGGGATTCAAGGGGGTAGAAGGAGCCTCCAACATGGCTTGGGGTTTATTTAGCACATGGCAGACAGCCAGATAAATTCCAGGTCGATGTTAGTGAGGAGATGCTGCAGATTTCCAGCTCAGACTGCAGTTTTACAACATCCCAGGCCTGGTAATGAGGCTGGGTAAAATCTCCTTCTAAGTTCCTGTCCCCATCTCTGCACTGCCTCTTGCCACCCTCCCAGCACAACTCCATGGATTTGCCTTGCAAATAACGAGCCCGTGGCAGGGGATGGCAGCACTCCTTGTGCTGGGTGCCCAGCAAACAGCAGCTCCAGGGCCTGGGGCCAGGCCTGGCTGTCACACCCACTGGGGGGACACAATCTCACTCCTCTGGAGGAACCCCACCACTCCTTTCCCAAAGAGATGCAACTCTCAAGCACAGCCTGGACCTGATGCCTCTGTAGCCCCCCAGAGCTGTCTCTGAGAACTGTCAAGCAAACAAAGATTGCACCAAACTTGGAAGATTTTTTCCTCTCTTAACCCTTACAAAGTAGCCAGGGAGCAGAGAGAGAGCCTGCCTGGAACACCATCACCAGCCACCATGTTCCAACATCTCCACAAGAACTGTGCTCGTAACTCCTGTGGCCACAGGAAATCTGCAAAAGAGAGGCAGGGGATGCTGGAGTGCTGACAGCCAAGCTCTCAAAAAGGCAGAGTAAGCAGCTGCTGAAATGTATTAGGATTAATATATTAAATTCACATCTCTACTACACCGAAACCTAGAAAGCTGGTGGACTTGCACAGGACACCATGCTGGGTTGTTTGCTTTGTCTGAGGTTTGTTTCGGGTTTTTTGTTTCTTTTGTGGGATTTTTTTGGTGCTGTCCATATTACTGCTATGACACACAAAGGTAACTTGCTCCTGTTCCCAAAGCAGACACAGCACTGGGGATGAACGTGGCCCATCACAGGTGCTGTTCTATGCACCTCAAAACCATTTACAAGTCATGAAGTTGGGCTCACCCTCCCACACCACAGAGCTTAAACATGCCCACCCCTCCGACAGGAAATGCAGCGATTTTCTGAAGTGCTGGCCTCCTACAGCCCCCACCAAATTCAGCACAATTAGGGCACTTGGTGGGGTGGTCACCAGTAATTAAAGAGTCTCTCAACAGGGCTGTGCAGACCCAGGAATAAACTCACAATTCTAAACCAACCCTGGGAAATGAGCTACCTGCAAGCCTCTGTTCAGAACATGCCTTAATCCTGGTTATGGACAAACATTTGGCTCCTGGGCAGATTCCACTGCCTTCTCACAGCACCTCAGAACACTTCCACATGTCCCAGCCCTGCCCAGCTGTCACTAAAAAACCACAAGCAGGGTCAGAAGGACCAGAGGCACTAAGGAATGGCCTCTGCCCTGAGCACAACCCTGACTGCAACAGGAACATAACCCTGGTGTTTACAGCAGCAAATTTCTAACCTTCACAATTGCAAAGAACAACTCGAAAGACCTCGGGCAAACAAAAAACACCCTGAACACCAAACTTTGGCGAAAACACTGCAAGAGCCATCAGCCATTAAATGCATCATTAAATAGGTGCTGATGTTCCCCAGCTGCTGTCCCAACACCAACGGGGATCTGCCAGAGATGTCACCAGGCAACTTCACACACAAACTCCTCCACCCTAGAGAGGAAGAGCAGCTGACCCTGCCACCAAGTCCAGCAGGAGGGAGGTCCTGGTTCTCAAAGCAAGGCTGACTAAGCCTGCAGCCTAGAAACGAGCTCTTCTGCAGTGGCCTTTACCTGGGCACAGCTCTTATTCCACCACTCAGCTTCAGTGACCTGCTTTAAACTCCTGCCAGCAGCACCAAACCATTATTTCAGACTCAACATCTCCACAAAAAGCCCAGAGACATGTGGGGCTGCTCTGAAGGGCCCCTCAGGGGGCAGGTCAGCGAGACCCTGAAGCACTTCACTTCAACCAAGTACAACCTGAACAGCTCCTGTAGAATCCACAGTGCACATCTCCCC